CTCCTCTTTCTCTTCGTCTCTCTCTCTCTTCTCGCTCGCGCCTCTCCTCCTGTTCTCTGCGTCTCTCTCTTCATCTCCTCTCTCTCTCTTTCTCTCTCTCTTTGTCTATCTCTCTCTCTCGAGAGAGAGAGAGAGAGAGAGAGAGAGAGAGAGAGAGAGAGAGAGAGAGCTCTTAATTGCCCCTCATATCTATTCGAGAGTATATAGTATTGGTCAATAAGCGCGTACACAAAAAGAAACGCTATAATCTTCAGCAGTTATCAAAGCGTACATAGATTAGAATGTCGGTGCCTGGAAGATAAGTATGTAACATCACCGCAGTAAGGGCGAAGGGAGTGCGAAAAGACGACTCTATGAATATATATATATATATGAGTGCAATATGTATGGGCCCCGTAATAACATGTAATCGTACGGAGGTAACCACGTAATAGGGTCCTTCTATCTAAAAAATATCTACAATAGGAATGCGCCATGCTATTCACCATGTCGATGCTCATTTTCCGGATCGTCAGTCTCTGCTTCCTGGTTAGGTTCTGGAAAATGTCGCAGCCCTCCTGCTGTAGTAGCTTGAAGGCAACGGCCAAGTGATGATTCTCCAACACTGATTCGTCGTTGTACATGACTGCCAGCTCGGAACCTAATCAAGGAATTATAAGATATATGCATAGACATAAAATTATATTAAGCATTTTAACGTGCGACAAACTCACGCATGGAGACTTTAATGCATGTTCAAACACAGAAAGATCGATACACTAACCCTAATGTTGTCAAATAAAATGCATGTATGGATAAACAAAGGGCAAAAGCAAGATTATCACTTGATGGTACATGCCAACATATCGTTTGAATACCACTCATCACACATGACGTTCATCAGATAAAATAATCGTGGAGCTGCTATTCTACAACTACGTATTGTGTTAAACTCTAAAATAATACTCTAGTTGTTGCATCAACTATATATAGGCGTGTCACACGCGACCACCTACGCAACTAGCACGCGTGGAAAAATGAAATGACAGTAATCAGATGAAGACGAGCGCGAGACTGACGCGTAAATTACATTCAACAACGCTGCCGCACTACAGTGACGCTCTATTAATAATTCCCCGCAGACAGATTGATTTGTCTCACGGAGTAATCAATGCAGACTTACATAGACAAGCTCGTCGTTAATTATATACGAAAACAGCCTTCTCAGTTACCC